ATGATATTTCTTTATGAGGTGATGAAAATGTCCTGAAGCAGATAGTGATACTGGTTGCATTAACTGGTGTATATACTAAAAACCATTAAACTGTACACTTAAAATTGGTGAATTTTACATTATATCAATTAATCTCAACTTAGGGGGAAAAAAGAACCAGATGGAAATTCTGGAATTGAAACGTATTATACCAAAACTTTTAAATTCACTAGGAGTTCAACAACAGATCTGAGAAAGAATAACCAATGAACTTGAAGATCAACAGAAACTTCTGATCTGAAGATCATAGGGAAAAAAGACCAAATAATAATAAAAAGAACCAGAGAGAAATGTGGGATAATATCAAGCATACCAACTTACATGTAGTGGCAATATCCAATGTAAAGGAAAAAGGCTGAAAATGAAATACCTGAAGAGATGAGGGCAGAAACCTCCCAAAACCTGACAACAAAAAAACCTTACATCTACAAACACAAGACAAATTAAACCTCATATAGGATAAACTGAAAGAGATCAATACCTAGACTAACACTGTTGAAAGACAACTGTCTTTGACCTAGACTAACACACTTGAAAGACAAGTCTAAATTGTGAAGGAAGCAATAAAAAAAAGACACAGAGGAACTACAAGACAATTAACAGCTGACTTCTCATTAAAACAATGAAAGACAACAGGCAGTGGAATGACAAATTCAAAGAACTAAAAGAAATACTGTCCTTTAAAACTACCCTTTAAAAATGAAGGGTGCCCTGGCAGGGTAGCTCAGTTGCCTAAAGCGTCACCCTGATACAGCAAGGTATGTGGGTTTGATCCCCAGTCAGGGCACATACAAGAATTAACCAATGAATGCATTCATAAGTGAACAACATATCAATGTTTCTCTCTCTCTCTCTCTACCTACCTACCTCTCTCTTTCTCTCTCCCTCCCTTATTCCCTTCCCCTTTCTTGTCTAAAATCAATAATTTTTTTAATGAAGAGTTGAAACAAAAGTGAAACAAAAACATTTCCAGACAAAGACAGAGAGAATCTGTTGCTAGCAAACCTGCCTAAAACATAAAAAAGGAAACAGGAAATTGAAGCTGAAAGAAAATGACAACTATAGGTAATTTGAATCTACTTGAACAGAGAAAGAATACTAAAAAAAGGTAATAATGAGGGAAATATAAAAGACTATAGAGGTCCAAGGAAGGTCCTATCTTATTAGTTATTTCATTTCCTTTTAGGAATATGTTCTTGAAAACTGTGTTATCATTTTGTGTACATTAGATTTATATACATTGTTTTATGTTACATATCTTATGTTCCCTAACGTTTTTTAATAAATACTGTTTTTAAAGTAAAAAGAGACTATATAGCTATATGTTCTTGCTTTTCCTTCTCCTAACTTCTTTAAAAAATCAGATCATTAACACTATATTGTTGTGTTTCCAATATGTTTAAGGTATACAGATGATAAAACACAATGGCTGGAGAGTAAGTAAAACTTTATGGAGTAAACTTTCTACATTTCACTGAAATTAAGTCAGTATTAATCTCAAGTACATTGTCATAAATTAAAATGCATGTTTTGCTCCCTAGAGCAAGCAAGAATAATTTAACTTAACAAACACAACTCATAAAAATAGCATATAAATGATACAACAATCATTACCTATTTGATACAAAAGTGGCACAAAAGAAAAACAAAAATATAGGAGAAAACAAAGAGCAAAATGGCAGACAAATTCATCATATCAATAATTACTTTAAGTATGAAATGACTAAGTACTCCAATCAACAACAGCAATTTTCTGACTGAATTAAAAAAATAGGATCAAACTATATAGTGCATGTGAGAGATGTACTTTATTCAAAATGCAAACAGACTGAAAGAGAAAGAATGAAAAAAGGTACCACACAAATAGGGACTGTAAGAGATCGAGAGTGGCCATATTAAAACCACACAAAGCCTTTAACAAATATTGCTAGAAGCAAAGAGAGACACTGCAGAAGACCAAGTAATTAAATTCATCAGGAAGACACATCCACTATAAACATACATGTATATGCCAACAGAACCCCAAAGTAAAGTAAAAATTTACATAACTGCAAGAAGAAATAAGAAATTCAACAATAACAATCAAAGATTTCAATACCTCACTCTTAGTAATTGAGAGAATTAGAAAATTAGCAAGGATATCAAAGACAAACAGCAAACAGTTGATATATCAACTAACTTGAAATAACTGACATTTATGAAACTCCACCTGACAACAGAATATACATACATACCTTTTAAACATACATTCTCCAGGACAGATCATATACTAAGAAATAAATCAGGTCTCAATAAATTTAAAAGGATTGAAATTATACAACATACGACCACAACTGCAAGAAAACAAAATTAGAAATCAACAATAGACTAAACTTTAGAAAATCCATGCACATTTGGAAAATAAAGAACATATTTCTAAATAATCAATGATCAACAGCAACAGCAACAAAAAAACCCACAAAAGAAATCAGAAAATACACCAAACTGAATAAAAATAAAAACAAAACATAGAAATTTAAGGGACTTGAGACTCAAGCAGTACTGAGGGCTATTTCTAGCCATAAATGCTTACATCAGACAAGAAAAACCATCATCTCAAATCAGTAATGTAAGCTTCTACTTTAAGGAATTAAAGAACTAAACAAAGAGCAAAGTAAATCAAAGCAATTAAAAGGAAGGAAATAAAGTTTAGAGTATAAATCAATGAAATGAAACAGAAATATAGAGACAAATACATAAAACCAAGCTGGTCCTTTGAAAAGATCAACAAAAATATCAAACTTTTAGCTACCCTAAGAAAAATATAGACAAGACACAAGTTACTAAAATCATGAATGAAAGACAGACATTACTACCATCCCTACCAAAATTAGGAGTATTATAAGGAAATCTTATGAACAATTTTATGCCAGTAACTTTGAATTTCAATCAACAGATGAAAATTGTTGGCTACGTACTGGTAATTTTTGCAGCTGAGTAATGAGTAATGAATAATGAGTAATAGAGGAGGATCATTACACTATTCCTTCTACTCTTTTATATGTTTTTAAAAATTCAAATCAAGTGGCTATATGGTTATTTGCATGTGATGCTCATGAGTGTTTCTACAAAGAAAAAAACTATGTTATTATAGCACACCCTGAGGTGTGGTTACCCAAAAACCTCCCCTCCATACTCCACAATCAAAACTTAGAAAGCTGAAAGAGTCACCTGCCCGGACTTCTCTGAGCTTAAGGATTATCCTGTGACCCAGTTCTGGCCAAGGAAATGTCAGGACTATCTCTAGGCAGAGAGTTAGCTTCACTTTTCTTAAACTGTCCCATCTTTTCTTCCTCTTCTTTTGTTTCTCATTTCACAAAGCCTAAAAATAACTGTCTTCCAGCAGCAGTTACAGTCAGGAATTCCCAGATCCAGAAGAAAGATAATAAGTAAATACTTTTATTTAAGTTGTACAAAGTCTAAGATCTGACTTCTATGTCCCTAGACCAGCAATTTTCAGCCGGCGTGCTGCAAGAGGCACACTGGTGTGCCGCAAGAATTTTTAAAACCAGCAGGACCTGACTACTTAGCCAGGGGGACTGACCTCTTTTCCCTTAGATAGGCAAAAAAAAATGACAACAGTCAACACAACAATAGCTGTCTGGTTGAATGAATGAATCAAAATTATACCTATATTTTTTGTCAGACCAGCAAAAAAAAAATATTTTTTGTTGTGTCACAGAATGTTAGTAGTTTACGTGTGCCGCAAGATGAAAAAGGTTGAACATCACTGCCCTGGACTGATTTTTTCATCCCTGGACATGTGTTAAGTTGTATGTCTTGCCCTTCACAATTTCTATAAAGCATTATTCTCCTTGCTTAATAATGTTGCCTTTTTCTATAAGCATAAACTCCACATTAGTTACACTGTACCTAAAAACAGCACAGAGCTCAATATTGTATCATTCTGACTTGGCCTCTGATCCCAAAGATCTACATTAGCTACAAGCAAAGCCAAATTCATCATCTTGGCCTAGTCTACAGAGTAACAAAAAATTAAGCAACAAAGTCCATCAGCAGGAATCTCACTGTTACCGTAAACTTTTCTATTTCTATTTCTATTGTGTACCTCATAAGTCTGTAGTAATATCTTTGAAAAGATCAGCTTTTTTAGTAACTAAAACAGGTCCTGTTAGGTCTACTAGTATCAGGAAAATTAAGAACCCCACTATTTGTGTACCTCATTGGCTACATGTTCTAAGAAATTACTTGTATACAAATGAGTAGAATTTTACTTAAAGAAGGAAAAGAACAATTATAACACAATCTTCTAGCTTTTTTTAAGAAGCCTAAATACAATAGGAAAATTGTGCTCATTAAAAACAATGATATCAACTGACAACCTGAGGTTCAGTAGAAAATAAATTTTAAAATTATTAAAAATTACGAAGAACTCAGAATGAAGGCATTACATGTCAAGAAACTTAATATGCAAATATTCAATGATCTCTGGTAATACAATTTGTACTAACTTACCTCTCTAAAATTGTGTATAACTACTTTTGTTCTATCTTTGAATAAATTACTACAATGACACAAAGTGTAAATATAGTTGTTTCCATTCCCCCAAAAAAGTCGACCACTAAAAGACACCTCAAAAAGTGAAGATAACTACTGGAGTTTCATGATTCTTAAAATTATTTTTAATGTATTTCAATTATGACAGAGTGAATCATACAATCTCTAAGCCTTCTGCATCAATTTTTTAAAAATTTATGAATCAAAAATCTTACATATTTCTGCACTAAAAAAAGATATGCCACAGACATTGCAATCAAACTATTACTTATTCTAGTGAACAATGAAATTCAGAAGTAAATGACATTTTCTACTTTTTAAAAAAACTTGAAGCTTGTGTTACTACACGATAGAAAACACAAGTATTTAATAAAATACAAAGCATTTTAGAAAGCCCTCCAAACCTTGAAAAAATCTGCAAGCTGTTTACTGTTATAAAGAGCGGGGATGTTGGCAGAGAACTGGAGCAGGTCTTCGGCACACTGCCGCCTCTCCTCAATGACAGTCTCGTCGAACCGCCCTAGAACGAGACGAGAATCAGCACCAGCGCAGAAGGACGAACACCTGTTCAGGACGATTCGCGGTCTCGGGGCAGAAAGCAGCAGCGGACCCGTCCCTGCCTCTGCTCCGCTCATCCGCAGCCTCCTGAGGTCACGCCTAGTCTCCACGCCTGGAAGCGGCGGCACTCTCACCGGCAGAGAAAATAACGCGCCTGATAAAACAAGAGGCAGAGATTTCCACTCAAATAGACGATGCCATCTTCATCTGCGGCCTGTCAATACAGGAAACTCCCCGCTGAAGAAGCCGACAATCTGAAACTGAAGTTGAAAAGAGAATTATAAAGAACTCGAATGGCTTTCTATAGTAATTTAATACTGTAATTACTGATAATTTTCCCTTTCACGCTTTTTTATTTATGAAGGAATTGAAGAGAGGAAATTATGAGAACATCTGTATATCAATGGGGTCAAAAACCTCCGTTTGTAGCAAAAGGCTCTCTCAGCTAACTTCCACATGTGAGGCTGTCAGCACACACGAGTGCTTGTGAGAAAAAAAGAACACCCGGCCCCATGGTGCACTGTTGTACAAGGTGACAGAAAGGCAGTGTCCACAGAATGTTTTACTACTACATACGATTTGAATGCTGGTAGGACATTTTCAAGTGTGACTGCTTTTACTCCGCTCAAATCATAATCAGATGAGCAGTTGGCATTTGCCACATGCATGTATCATACTGATGGCAATACGGGTTTAAAAAATGCAAATTTGAGAGAAGTGATGGCAATATGCTTTTAAAAATACAAATTTAAGAGTAGCATCATCACATACTTAAACATTTTTAGTAGCTTTGCAAAACGTGAACAGAACACTGAGGCACAAAGAGATTCCCAGCTTTATTACCCAAGGCAAGAGTTGAAACTGAACCACTACATACCTCAGCTCAACGTGTCTCATGCTCATGGTGAAATGTCTACTTCGTGGTAACGGAAAAGAATGGTTGTAGAGTTGGCCCTGGATTCAAACACTAGCTCTATCATTCACTAGCTACAAAATCTTAGGCAGGTTATTTCCTACTTCGTAAAATGAAGAAAATGAAGACTGTATTTCGTAAAATGAAGAAAATGAAGACTGTACTCTCAGTTCCATGCCAGGCACTTAGCAAGCACTTAAAAAATTAATCATAGTGTTGTTGGATCTTCAAGTACTAGCATAGTATCCAGCATATGGAAGATGCTAAGAAACACGTGTTGACTACATGAGTGAGTAATGAAAACTTAGAAAAACTCTCCTGACAAAAGTAACTGTTTTATGTGGAAGAGTCTCTCCTAGAAGAGTCACTGTCACTAGTAAGAAATCTTCCTGGGATTACCCTCTGCATCCTCTCGCAATACATTGTCTTCTCCTGTGGACACCTGCAGCTCCTAGGATTCTCCAAGAGTGTGCTTATTTTGACCACTGGGTTTCCTCTGCCATTCCTGTTAGCTATGACCTCCTTGAGGGCAGGGGTTATATTTATCTTGACCACCATTATATTCCCAGCACCAACTACAATGCCTAGCTCATGGTATGTGTTTCTTAAATACCCATTAAATAAATAAATGAATCAAAAAAAGAAATCTTACCAGTGGGTCCACAAACACCTCCTAAGTCCTAATGCATGGGTGTCAGAGACAACAACCCTACGAAATTCCATGTGTATGTCCACGGGCACATTTTCAAGGAAAGGGTTCGTAACTTTTACCAGCATCCTCAAAGAGCCCAGGACCTGGCAAAGGTTAGCGGGTAAGTGGCAGTCAATTTGAGGATTCCTAACATCCACTATATTGTTTTATTTTCTATGAAATCAGTTGCCAGTTGCTATCTTGGTATCTGTTCTCACCTTCTTCCTTAGTAAAATAACTCCCAATTTCTAACTAGGTGCATAGCGGTCCAGGAAAAAACAGGCTGGGATTTCCAGCTTGCCTTGCAGTTGCATGTGGACATGGATTAAGTTCAGGCCAATAACATACAAACAAAAGTTATACTGCAGATTCCCAGAAATCTCTTTAAGAGAGAGCCAATGTATTCCTCCCCCACCCCTCTTCTTTCTCCTTTTCCACTTCCAAGAAGGATTATGAAGGGTGACAGAGCAACAAGGTAGGAGCTTAGATTCCCCATTACCCTGGAGCTGCCACACCTGAGGCTACTGCCAGATCCTATACCATGAAAATGGAATTGACGTCTATCTGGTTTTCCATTTTGTCACAAGTAACCAAACCTGCTATCATCTATCTATACTGCTGTATCTGCTTTTATATTAGTTACCAGTTCATATGCAGCAATGCAATTAAACTCAGTTATCCCAAGGAAAAAAGCACATCTAAAATGACACTGCTAGTTTACCTACCAATTAATTACATTATCTGGGAACCAAAACCCCAACCCACAGAGCAAATACTCAGCCTGAAAACAGTCTAACCTGGCTGGTGTAGCTCAGTGGATTGAGCATGGGCCTGCAAACCAAAAGATCGTGCATGGTTCAATTTCCTGCCAGGGCACATGCCTGGGTTGCAGGCCAGTTCCAGCAGGGGCCAGTTCCCAGCAGGGGCCAGTTCCCAGCAGGGGATGTACCAGAAGCAACCATACATTGATATTTCATCCTTCTCTCTTTCCCTTCCCTTCTAAAAATAAATAAATAAAATTTAAAAAAAAAAAAAAGAAAACGGTCTAAGTTATTCAGTCTTGGGGAAAATCCACTGATCAAAACAGTTAAAAAGACAGCTAAATGTTCATCATTCCTCTTTCCTAAATAGGAAATTAAATATACACTGGTGCTTATAATTATTGTCCAGAATATTTACCATTTAAACAAAAAGGTAAATTCCAGTGAACATCTAAAATCTTGGAAGAGAAACCCAGAAAATACACACATTATATTACATTCCAATCCATAATATTATGTTTAATGGCATAACTATATACTGAAAAATTTTAGTGAAAATCTTCCAAATATTTGATAACACCTTTAAAATCTTATTTACTAGTGAAAACGAAGACATGAAAATTGGGAGCTTTAATCCACATGTGATCAATGACTCATCCCATCCCCCAATTAAGCTAGACCAGCATGACAAGGCAAAGATCGCATCAACTTCTAAACAAAAGACATATGCAAAGCATGTCTCTGTTGTGCCTCCACTGATCTGCACATTTCCACGCCACTGAACCTGGACAGGTGGAGATGAAGGAAAACACTGCTCGGAGTGGGCCACAGAGGAAATCAAGGGCTCGTGCATTAAAAGGTTCAATGACACTGTATTTGGTCATCAAAACAAATTTGATGAAAGAACATCTTCACTTCTTTCTTACTAGGATATTTCAGAATAACAAAAAACAGTATTGGGAGCATAAACAAAGACAGCAGATGAATTTTAATGCACTAACTACTGGCCCTAATATAGCTAACAAAACCACCTAGTTTTAAAAGTAAATTAACAAGTAGCAACAACTGTTGTCTAGCCATCCTAATGGTAGACAATACTCTAGTAGCTCTTCTCTAGTTGTTAATCCCTTAGAGCAGCAACAATGAGAAATCATAAATAGGTGCTTTAAATTTCCATTCACATGGTCAATGTTTATTTTCCTGTGAACACAGTAGAAAAATAATATAAAATTTATAACAGAATATGCAAAACAAACTTTTCCTGAGAAAGTTATTATGTATTATATTATTTGTATGTATATATTACTAATAAGTTATTCTACCACTCCCAATTACTTGATAATACTTCATTAAAAGCTGGGGGCAGGTAAATTAAAACATTCAAACAAAACTGGTAAATCATTAGAAATAAAGTCTCTCTGATTTATAAGCTGCCTTTGAGATCTTGTTGTTGTGTTTTGTATTACACATAACTCCTAGAAAACAGAGCTTACAATTATTTTCAATGCCAATGACAATGATCAAAAACCGGTTACACAGAACTGAAAGGTATCCTTAACCAATAAGAAACTAGCCAGAAAAGCTTGATGCTGATTCTTAACTGTATCAAAAATTCCTTCAGCCCTGGCTGGTGTAGCTCAGTGGATTGAGCGCAGGCCTGCGAACCACACGATAGCGGTTCGATTCCCAGTCAGGGCACATGCCTGGGTTGCAGGCCGGTTCCCTGCAGGCCAGTTCCCAGCAGGGGACGCACAAAAGGCAACCATACATTGATGTTTCTCTCCCTCTCTCCTCCCCCCTTTCCCCTCTAAAGATAAATAAATAAAATCTTTTAAAAAAAAAAGATTAAAAAATTCCTTCAGAGTAAAAAGAAAAACAGAGAGGCCCACGTTCTCAGGTGTGAATTCCCTGTACCGACAGCACCAAGAACACACTTCCTAGTTAAACAAGTTGGATCTATTACTCCTTGCAACTAGGGACACTGTACAGTATTGGGAACTCGGGGCATTTCACCAGGAAGGTGTAGAGCGGACTTGCAGGGTTTGGGCTGTGTTGGGGCCTCTGGGAAAGGCTCGGAGGAGTGACGCTCTGCCCTGGTTTACATGCCATCAGGAAGGGAGTCAGGGGTAATTCCATGATTTTATGAATTCTACCTAATTCTATGATGTGATAAATCTTATTATGAGGCAAGGAAAATGAAGACACACCAAGGCTGTGACTTATAATGAAGCTGTGTCACTCATGGCAGCCAGGATGAAAACGTGTGATCACTTTTGTGACTTTAGCAAAGGTCATACTTTTATCTGTGTTCAGACACAATCACACTGACCTTGTCTGTGTCTTCATCCCAGGACACTCAGTGGCCTTGTCTAGTGGCCGTGTGCTGTGAACGGTTTAGGCTCAACAGCAGGACGACACAGCCCGGTGCGAATGCCAGGTCAACTCCGGTAATGCCGGAGTCCAGGCAGTGCAGGCCAGTTCTTTCACGGCTGTCAGAAGCTGCTTTCTCTTTCTCACAGGAAATCACAGTGTGGTCTCATCATGAGAAAATAATCAGACTGAGACTGTGAAGCCTACAAAACAACTGTCTTACACTCTTGCAATGTCAATGACATGGAAGGAAAAAAAACGCACAAAGAATACTCTAACTTAAAGAAACAGATCTAGAGGCAAGATCCTGGATACAAAAGAAATCTAAAATGGATATTTTCAGGACAGCTGGGGAAATCTGAATGCGGACTGGACATTTGGTAATATTATTGTATCGATGTTAAATTTCTTGAGTGTGATATGGTATTGTGGATATAGGCAAAATACAGGAAGCGGGGGTAAAATGTCACAACCTCTCCAACTTATTCTCGAATGCTCCAGGAAAATAATGAGACACACACATGGACATTACAGACAAATGTGGCAAATTGTTAACAATCAGTGAACTTGGGCAAAAAGTATGTAAGTGTTTGTTATACTATTCTTTTGGTTTTTCCTGTACATTTGAAAATTTTGCAAATTCAAACAACTGAAGGAAAGCGAAGTAGTTGCTGTACTGGTAAGGAGAACTGGAAGGGGAAACAACTCAGTCTAAAGGAAACGCAGAAAACTCCCTAGAAGCGGAGTCATCTCGAAGTCTGAAAGGCTAACAAAAACCCGCACGGCGGAGCGGTGCGACAGTCAAGAAAGAGAGACAGGAGAGAAAGCGGTCAGAGGGACGGTAAACTGAGCAACACGTGACACAGCTCACCATGGCTGATATGTGCCGAGCACTGAACTAACACGCACTACAGTCATAATCCTCAGGAAAGGGAGGTACTATTCCTATGCTGCCCGTAACAAAAAAAGTCTCAGATGTCAGTGTGTGTAAGATCACGAGACTGGTAAACAGTGGGTGAAAGATTTGGGCCTAAACCTCTCTGGTTCCAAAAGGCACGGTCTTGCCACTGTGACACTAGAACGGTAACTGCACATCTGCAGGTTCTGCCAATAATCAGGTTGGTCAAGAAGTCCACACAGTCTTTTCCACACAATAAAGGACACATTTTTCATTTTCACTAATAATTTTATTGATTTGGATAATTTGAGTACATTGGCTATCTCCCGCATGGTAGAACACTGAATGCTCTCAATTAATGTCTCGATTTGACTGCTATCAGCTCCAACTGGTCTACTCAACCGTGGAGCACCGTCCAGTGAGAAATCTCCAGCACGAAACTTCGCAAACCACTTCTGACACGTTCAGTCACAGCACCTTCTCCATACGCTGCACAAATATTTTTGCATTTCAGTTACATTTTTACCTTTCTTGAAATAATAAAGCATAATATGCTGAAAATGTTGCAGTTTCATCCACCTTCAAAATTAAAATGGCTACACAAAAAGGCACCAATTTTGACTTTTTTAATACAAGCTGAAATGACAGCTGTCACAATACAATCTAACAAAACTGCTTCAAATAATGTGAAAGAACACTAAGCACTAGTAGAGCCATCTTACAAAAAAAACAAATGAACTTCTTGACCAACCCAGTAAAATAGGACTTTTTTTTGCTGCTGAGGCTTGCACACTAAAAATGTGAGAGTATCTAAAAAGACAGATGATTAACCGAGAATTCCCCCCACACAACCACAGCTGCTGCCTGCGGGGTTCACTGCAGTTACCAAGTATTACAAATGGACTGTGCCATTTACTGAGAGTGATGCATTGCTTACTTACTAAGATTAATAAGAAACGCTCACTCTATAATATGTAAGAATGAGGAGAAAAGTTGAAGATAATCCATCAGCAACAGACAATAATAGCTAAGAACCAATTTGGGAGCCACTCCCTTTCACTCAGTGACAAGCTTATTGTTTTCAAAGCCAGGCTGTGCACCAGAGAGATGAAAATTAAAACCACAATGAGGTATCACCTCACTCCTGTCAGAATGGCTGTCACATAAATCAACAAAGCGCCAGTGCTGGCAAGGTTGTGGAGAAAAGGGAACCCTAGTGCACTGTTGATAGGAATGCAGACTGGTATGGCCACTGTGGAAAACAGGACGGAGTTTCCTCAAAAAATTAAAAACAGAACTGCCTTTTGACCCAGTAATTTCACCTCTGGGAATATATCCTAAAACACCAATTGAAGAGAATATATGCACCCTATGTTCATAGCAGCGTTATTCACAATAGCCAAGTGCTGGAAAGAGCCCAAGTGCCCATCAGTAGATGAGTGGATAAAAAAGCTGTGGTACATTCACACAATGGAATACTACACAGCAGTAAAAAAAAAAAAAAAAAAAAAAAAAGAATTCTTATCTTTTGCAATGAAAATCACAAGCATGGATGGCATTGGAGATTATTATACTAAGTGAAATAAGCCAGTCAGTAAAAGACAAATATCATATGACCTCACTCATAAGTGGAATGTAGTAAACAAAATAAACTAACTAGCAAAACAGACCAAAGGCATGGGAACAGGGAACAGACTGACAGCTGTAAGAGGGGAGGGGAAGGTGGTAACTGGTTGGAAGAAGGGGACGAAACTAGTCAAACAACACACATGCATGACCCATGGCCATGGATGGTGGGGACTGACTGTGGGAAGGGGGGCAGACTGGGTAGAGAGGGGCAAAGGGGGAAAAACTGGGACAACTGTAATAGCATAAACAGTCAAATATTTAAAAATAAATAAACAAATAAAAGCCAGGCTTCGCATCTTCCAACATTAACATACGTGTGCAAAGTTAAATGCTACAGTACAGAGTGTTTAAGGTAAAAAGTAAAAACAGCCCTCCTCTCATGGCCCAGAGGTTTTACACTTTATACAAACATGTGCAGGTAACATCTTCACACACACATGTATGTCTACTTAAACACAGAAGGGGTCTTACTAAACACACTGCTTTGCAACATTTGTTTTCTATATCCTAAAAATATGCCTTGGACACATTTCCATACCAGTATGTGTCAAATAGCTGAAGAATTCTATGAATTGGCTAAATTCCAGCACACCCGTACAATGACATATTGAGAAAATTCAATTTTCAGTATTCTTCTACTAAAAATGCTGCAAGGAATACCCATATGTATGTGCATACATGTGTATAAATGTGTGTGTGCGTGCTTCTGTGTTCTCAAAACATAAGGCACAGGCTGCTGAGGGTCCCCCAACGGCCTTCCAAGAGATCCACCAGGTCAAAACCACTTTCACAACAGTAAGACAGCAGCTGCATTATTTCCCACACTGACCTCTGCACTGATCACCTACAACCAACAGCAGGGAAACTGCTGGCCTCTCGGCAGGAACCACTGCGACGGCTCCCAACTACACTCACTAGTAATCAGCATATTCCCAACTACACTCACTAGTAATCAGCATATTCCTACTGCCACCCACTCGCGTTAACATTGTTTCAGATGCCAGTTTCACTTAAGAATGTCCTTGATGAAGCAGAAAATTTATTAACTTTATTTATTAAATCTCAGCCCTTGAGACCATTTCTTTTTTAAAGTCTGTGTGTGAAAAAAAAACAAACTATAACTATTCAGATTTGGATAACTGTCTATCCAAATTGGCCCATTCAGTCTTGCTATCCAAATCTGAATAGTTATAATTTGGTGTTTAACAGATTTCCTTTAGAGATCTGTGATATTAACAATTTTTGATATTATATAATAAATGGGTCAACATTTGCAAGACACATACAAAGTATAGACATTAAAAATAAAAAAATTGCAGCCCTGGCTGGTGTAGCTCAGTGGACTGAATTGAGTGTTGGCCTGCAAACCAAAGGATAGCAGTTCGATTCCCAGTCAGGGCAGATGCCTGGGTTGCAGGCCCGTTCCCAGCAGGGGACGCACAAGAGGCAACCATACATTGATATTTCTCTCCCTCTCTCCTTCCCTTCCTTTCTAAAGATAAATAAACAAAATCTTTTTTAAAAAATTAAAAAATTAGGATCTAGAAGACTAATTCAACATCATCTTTCTTACGTTCTCGCATGTTGTTTTCCCTGATTGGTCAGAACTGTTGCTGCTGTGTTGCGATTGGACAGAAGATAAGTGCATGCTGAGTTAGCAAAACTGCACCTAGAACATGGAAAACCACTTCATGTGCTTGATGCTTGCTGCATGACATGAATTACTGTCATAAACAAAGGGGCTTCTGACTTCCTGGGACACAATTTCGGGGTTTGGCATATATGCATAGTTAGCTAATCATCACATGCATAGTTAGCTAATCATCACGTTTTAAAATCAGAGATTAAATACAGTCACTTACCAAACACTATTCCTTTTGCAAATGGAGGAAATAATTCTGAATGTCGGAATAAGTTTTTGTGAATTTGCCATAGTTCTTTGTGTAGTTTCTTAAAGTCGCTGTATCTCTTCCATATGATTATCTGAGAGAAAAAAATTAAATGTGTATCTCATAGTAAAACTATTCAGGTTTAGATATCTAATCATAATCATTTCATTAAAGTGCTCAAAATGATCATGCAATGGCAAACAAGTATATGTTCTAACCAATATAGTTAACTATGTAAAATTAACTAACATTTACTTTAAAAGTATGAAACAGCAACTTTTCCTGTCTTGATTTTTAAATTTCATTGTGAACAAGCACTGTTTCCTTCATACTGGAAAAATATTCAAAAATATCCAACAAAGAAGGTCTGTCCTACCTAAAATGTCATTTAACCTCTTCAAAAGTCAATTACTATTGGCCATGGAAATGAGCTAGATGTCAAAATACATATTCTGTCTCAAAAACATCATATTTGCAAACACAAAACATTTCATTTAGACAATTTTAAATACAAAGTACCTACTCAGCATTTGCCTAAAAGGATATACAAAGTGCATAACTCAGAAGAAACAATAGCTATGTAGAAAGTAATTAACATGAACTTCTTAATTTCATAAATCTCAACTGAAAATAATAATAAGATTCTGGGAGAAGGTGAATCCTGATCAGAATACCATTAAAACTAGTATATTTCACAAACAACAATCATCTGGATTATACAACATGTAAAAAAGTAAATTTACCTTGTTTAGTTCTAATTATTGTTTAACCTCATTCAGATTAAATTAGAAAAAAAAACATTATAAAAGAAAAGGATTTTTTTCCCACTGGATATGGAGTATTTATAGAAAGGGCCGCACATTTGGCTTTGTTACAGTTTTGCATTTTCAGTTAAAATCTCAGTTGAGACATTCCATATCCCCCAGCAGTGTGGGGGGTAACTCAAGTTCACAGTTCTGAGTAAAAATCACCCTGCTTACCCGACCCCTCTGCCCCTCACTCCGATTTGCTGCACATCACATTACCCAGGAGATACACGAGCCAACTGTACAACTGAATAAAACCCACATTCTCATTTAGATTGCAACTATATCATATGTAATAGTATCACTTTATATACTACTTTATCACTTTACATTTTGACCACATTGTGGTCAAATAAATGTTTACATAAACTAAAAACAAAAATCAGTTCCTTACTTGCACTAGTCATACTGAAGTATTATCCTTAGTAGCCAGGGGGCATTCGTATCACTGAATACTCACAAATCAGAATGCAACAGCAGTTTAAATGGCCTCACATTTATTAATGAACCAACCTGCTACTGAAGGAAAAAAATCAAGAGAAAAATCATTTTCCAATAATTTCCAATTAAAATACCAAGCTGTTCAGACAGCAATGGTTTAGGAAGAGGACTTGAACATTACCTGGATATCACCACAAAAGGAGTAAAAATGAGTTTTAAATTCTGTCATCTCATACATTGGGGCTTTTGCTAAAAAACCAACCTACCTCACTTCTAGCAAACTCAATATTAGAGTGCAATGCTAATAAGCCAAGTTTTAAGACTCTTGTCAAAACTGTACTCTTTGTGCATATGAAATCTGTCACCAAACTTTGCCAAACTATCAAAAATTCTACCATGATTAATAAGTTTCTTGTTTCTAACACAGGCATAACCCTAGGGCACTAGTCAGCCCACAATATGAATTAACTTAAGTAAACTGCTCTCCTGAGGCTTCCTTTTATTCATTTACTCAACGACAAAAACAGTCATCCAAACCAGTATTTCCGTGGCCCCATTCTGTGTTGGGCACTGTGCTGGCACAAAGGATGAAGAACTGAGAGACACAATCCCTGCCCTCAAGGAGTTCCAGTCCAGTCAGGAAGACTAAGCCAACACAGTAAGCACATCACAAGACAGCAGCTTTATAGCAAGGATTATCTTAGTTGAGCAACCTGAAGGGAAGCAGTGAATAGACCGACAAAAATGAAGAAAGAAGGGGTTGTGGATGAAGTTGTTCAAAGGAGAGCAATGCCAAATACAATGACTTTTGGCTTTGCAATGGGATGAAGAGTGATGCTCCTCCTTAAGATGAAAAGCCAAGGGAGAAGCTGTTTTGAGATAAGGGCAAAGTTCAATTATAGATACATTTGATAGTACTTGTGAGGCACCTGATTGGAAATGTCCCATAGGGTAAACAGGTTTGGGGTTCAACAGCAAGAAGTTAAGTGGGCTGTATTAATTTGGAGCATCAGCAGAGCAATGGCAATCACTCGGGAGAGGTGCTCAGCATCTGTGATGAGATGAGGAATCTAATAACAGAACAATGGGGAACCCTAACACTGAGGGACCAACCAGAAGTAAAGAAGAGAAAACCAAGTGCAACATGTTTAAGACACTTGATTATGACATGAGAGAGGGCACACAGATGGAAGAAGAAACTTTATTTTAAAATGGAAGTGAATGAGACAAATGTTGAGGACAAAGAACCAGCAATTCCAGCAAAAGACACAGGAAGAACTGAGAGAGTTAAACCAATGCTTGAAAAGCAAAGTTCTCAGATAGTGAAATTACACTGATTTTAATTTTTATATTCTGTGCTTCTCGGCAGTTTTTAACTTTGATGCATGAACATAATTCTGCCATGAAAAAAAACATTCAAATTATGGTAGTACCGCACTACCAAGGAGGGCTTAAGAAGGAAATGGGTATGGGCTTGTAAAAATAACCTTACATAGGGTGATGCCATCCTTAAAGCCATGATAAGCTAGCCGTGAGAGCTATTCCAAAGACCACATAGCTCATGAAAACAAATCTGCAGCTAAAATGTGTATTCTAGTTGGAATCACTGTAAAACAAAGGCAGAGTGATTTAAGGAGCAAAAGTTAATCATTTAATCACAATAAAGACAAAATAATGATCAAAATACCATGGCAGATAACCAACCAACAGGTTGTCAGAGCAAGAATAAGAACCGTGCCCCCAAGGTGAGAATCTGCATTTCCTCACCGTGTCCTAACTTGTTCACTCACATGCTCCTTACTCTCAACACTGGAGCCTTAGAACCTAAGTACCAAAGAGCAAATAAAAAGCCCCAGGAACTGTGGGAAACCAAACCATCACAAAATGTCACCATTCACTGACTCCTTTTCTTCTTACTCCTTTAACTTTGGACATTTCTAAAAATCTTCAAAATGGGAAAGGGAACAGAAGCACACCTCCGTTACTTCAACAACTACTAATGGTTATAACTGGACTACGTACAGTCCCAAAAGACACGTGCAAAAGTTATTTTCTCTAACAATATTTTATTGTAAAAAATATCGTAAAATAGCTATTGCTCTATTGAACCAATTCTGCAGAAATTTCTTATTCATGAAAGTCATGTATAAAATTCCTCAATATTAATTTAATGACAATAATATAGAGACTACAAGTTTAATAAAAGCTTAATTTTTATTAAAAACATCCCCTTAAATATTTTTACATAAAAAATTAAGATAACTTCACTTATTGATACCAAAAACCTTTAGATCTCTTGTATTTTACAAAACCATCCAATCCAAACTAACTTTGTCCTTTTTACTCTTCTACAGTAGTTAGAACTTGCTGGATCACCCACCATACTATTTGCTTGTGGATTTCCTTTCCTTTGACACATTTCTGACACCAGTAAAATTTACTAGCTATAGAGAAACAGAGCTATACATAGGTTACTTCTTTTCAAAGGTGGGGGAGGAAGGGCACATTTCCATCTCTGTCTTTCCTCATGGTGAATATTCACGCCCTAGAGGGTCTTCTGAAGGAGAGGCCGCATGGACCGCTGTTGTCCCCCCTCCCATTCACCCGTGCTGCTCTTAATAACTAAAATTCAGAGGAAATGTTTAATAGGTAAGGGGGAGAGGGGGGAATCCATCCTGAACAATTTTAAATTATTTACCCCATGTTAGTATTTAAGCATTCTTAGGAAGAAAACATTACATGTGCCAAGGTATGGATGCATGCGTGTATGTATGTGTATATGTATAAACAAACAGCAAACTTTCTCTGGTTTTATAAGGATAGCATATTATTAGTCCTAGATTTGGTTAAATTAACTATACATCTACTAATCCTCAACAGCCCTGTAAAACCTAAATTCTAGAGCAATAAAATAACTAAATGAGTAAGTTAATGAAGAAAGTACAAGGAAAGGATGTGGAAACACACCCCAAAGGTTAATTCCTCTCCTAAATGAGAATTCCAATGTTTAAATGAAACATGTGAAACTAAAAGTATTATTATGCCCTGGCTGACGTGGCTCAGTCGGTTGAAGCGTCATCCTGTAAACCAAAATATTGGGAGTTCTATTTCTGTTCAGGGCACATGCCTGGGTTGTGGGTTCAGTCTCACCGATCAATGTTTCTCCCATCGAGTTTCTCTCTCTCTCTCTCTCTCTCTCCCTCTCTCTCTCTCTCTCTGCCCTCCTGCTTCTCCTCTCTATAAAATCAATGAGCATGTCCTCAGGTGAGGATAAAAAAAAGTATATTATAATTTCCAGATTATTCTATACTTTAAGAAGCCAGCTACATAGAAGACATGTTTTGATTTTTTATAGCATTTCTAACAAAGGCCATGCAATCATCTGACTAAAGGACACTTACAAGTTTTCTGATGAATGGTTCACCAACAGTTGTTATTATAAAAGAGTTTTCCCCAAAAAAGGATTAAGGAAATGGCAGAGAGTGTGTTCGTGATAGGTTGGCTCAGGATTCTCCCTGGAAAAGGGGAACATCAAGCTACAAACCACAGCACAGCAATCAGACACAACCCATTCATAAGAAACACAACCCACTTTCAATTTCAACAGAGTTGTAAATTTTCAAACAGCAGAAAACCATGGTATTGACTATTAATTAAACATTCGAAAGAATTCTACGTCCTGAAGCACAGTTCATACTAATCACGTGACACTTAAGTAGAGAGCATCTCAACCCATGGTGCCGATCACTTCCACTGCCACTTCAGAGGGACAGATAGATTGATGTACACTCATTGCTTCCACAGTAACAATATTACAATATTCTCTTCATGGCTATTAGGGGAAGGAGGTATAAGGTATCTTAAAACCCTATGGAAAGTACCCAGAAATATTTTTTAAAATGTGTCTTTTACTGAACTACTTTTAACCGGGGGGGGGGGAACAAATATCATATTAGACATAGTAAGAAATGGTAATGTCTGAAAGTCCGTATACACTCCTAACCTGATGTCCATACTCAAACCACCACCAAACCATCAACTTAAATGTATGAGTATGAATCAAGCCAGATCTTTTTCAGTAAGAAATAGTGGAGCTTGTGGCAAAATAAAAAGCACATACCCCAACTAAAGATATTACAATTAAATTTTTTTAAAAAACACTGTTGCAGAATCAAGACTACCCACTTACAGTGTCTGTTTCTTTAGTAGGAAAAAAATGCCCAATGTACAGTATGTCCTAATCTTAGTAAAAATGGAATTGGGGTGATCACTTCATGAGGTACATAAATGGCTCATCAATATGCTGTGCACCTGAAACTAACATAATACTGCATGCCACTGTAATTGGAAAATATATTCATTTTAAAGAAGAAAATGAGCGAGTACTAATATGCAAGTAAATCAGAAACTGTTCAGAGAAGTAAGCGCCTCAGACAGGGTTCCTAACAGTGTGTAAGTAAAAAGTAATTACAAACAGAGAGCCACAGTTTTAAGCAAAAATATAACAAAATGGTATCATTTTAGAGTGAGGGAAAGGATATGCAAAAGAACTTACCAAGTACAAAATTTTAAAAAGAAACTTATACACCCAAAGCAGTTCTCCACGATATCAACATGTTAACTCAATAAAAAAATGAAGTAGACAGAAACCCATAATTTTATAGTTATAATCTTTAAAATTAATACTAATTACCAAATACTTTTCACTTTTTAATTAAAGAGGCATCATGATTTTGAAATAGTTTGTAAATAGGGGCTCTTAACTAATCTTGAAATCTTATGCTACCTACCAGAAAAATTATCACATTACTAAACAGCATTACAATTCCTGCAAATCTTATTTATATACTTTAACACCCACTAAAATCTAACACCTATTTAATGGGTCTGAATCATTCCTCAAATTCTTTTTTCTACAATTTAAATCCTACTAAAACTTAAAAGGTACTTAATAGGTGTGAAATAGGACACTTCTGCTACTGTTTGTGAGCTGAAGACAATCACCACACAAATACACAAATATAAACACTGACAAAAAATTCAGTTTCTTCAATAAGAAATTAAATAAAATTTTCATATGAATAGCATGTTACCTCCTGGACATCCTCTGGATTTCTTCGTGAAACAACCTGAAACAAAACACATACAGACATATCTAGTCATCATCAAAATTTAAGATTTCACATTTGTATATTTACTTTCAACAATATTTTTATTAAAAATTCAATTTGTGTAAAGGAAAAGAAAATACCATATTACATCACTTACAAGGAACTCAACTATATAACTTCACTATCTAAAACATATACTAAAAAATTAAGCAAAAAGGCAGCTGAAATAAAGTTCACGTGCTAAAGTTCACATATTAATTCACAAGAATGCCTCGGGCCTTCACCTTTACTTGACCTTATTCTACCGAATTTGTCTGAACCCTTCTCCAGCCTCCACAAAATTAGAAGCATAAAAATAGGCTGCATCTGGACCAAGTATACAGGGGACTGATTGCTCTGTATTATTTCTTTTTTCTTTGTTGATGTTAAAAAAACAATCACTCGCCAGATACCTTACCAAGTTCAACCACTGGGCACCCCACCATAAGGGGTTACTTAGTAGTCCCGCCTGTTTAATTCCATTTAAACAAGTTAAGGCTGTGACCTCTGAAATGGAAACCGAAAACCCAAAAGGACCAGGATAACATGAGCTGAGCCCAAATGTCTATTAGTAACAACTCTTTCCAACTATGCAAATCTCTTCAGTGGAACTGCAAACTGATGAAAAATAAGAACAGTAATCAGAAATCTGAGGAAAGAATAAGATCATACTAGAAACGAACAGAACTGAAACTTCAGATTATCTCAACAAGTAATATCAACTCTAATACACAACTACTTAAATTGGCCCTAATAGAGATTGCTAATATTTAGTAATTTTGTTGAATTTCAATGTTTTATCATAAAATTCAGGCAACAAATTCCACAAGAGCTGGAATTTAAAGCAGTGACATCTTTCATTGGAAGTTCACAAATTTCCATTGCAAGCATTAACTACCAATGCCTCAGTAAGTACAATATACACACACATATATATAACTTGAGAAGTCTCAAGATGTATATACATAGAGAGAAAATTCTATTCTCAAGTCATCTTGAAAATTATTACCCAAAAGCAGTGCTTCACAAACCATGCCACATGGAATACTGGTATTCTTTAAAATCATTGATCTCAAAGGATTAATGATGAACTCAGTTTACCTTTGTTTAAAAAAGAAACACATAATATACATTATTATGCCTAGCAAATCTCCAAAACGAAGATGTATAGTATTTCCCAAGGTCATCTAGCCATTCAACTTCTTATTTCCATCACGTTGTTTATTTACTATTTTATTTATTTAGTGCAACAATTACTAAAATTCAGAGCACAGCTGAGAAATGCTACTGCAATGTTTGTAGTCTATCTGCCTCTGTTAACACCAAAAGCAAATCCTAAATTTAGGAAGACAAGTAAGGTACCTATCTCTTACTGTGCATTAAATCCTTTCCTGCTCTCATTCATCACAACAATGCTGCCTGAGAGGATGAGACGTCAAGGCCCAAGAGCACACAGGAACGCACTAATCATAGTGATCAGTAACAGCAGGACTGGAGCTCCCAATTCTGATTATAAACAGAGTGGTCTTCCAGGGCGGAACTAAACCGGCCCTCCTAGATTCAAATTCCATGTGAGAATCATTCCTAAGGCCTATCAGGTAAACCCATTTTGTCTTTACAAAGAAATGCACATCAACCAAAATCAGGAAGTTGAAGAAGCACTTTTGCAAACAGAAAGAATTAGGAAGAAAGAAATTTGAATACTAACTCTGGCACTAGCCATGAACTGCTTTTTTACCTGAAGCTCAGTATCAACCCCCAAAAAAGCAATGTTTACATGAGCCCTCTTCCCTATCCTCAAAACAAAACAAACAACAACAAAAACACCAGACATTGTAGCACAGGTCCTAGCTCAGGCCCAGAACTATCAACAGATCAAACATTATTAAGTCCTCTAACTCCTTTGAAGCATGCTAACTCCTATTATCTACTTAACAAATTTTACTAAGTTTCCTTAAAAGTCAAGGAAAAGACTCTCTCTTCTACCTAATTACCATTATGATCAATGGAAATCACCCTCTCAACTCATATATTCAAAAGAAATTTCTTCATAAGATTAAGAAATGGCTACTGGAAAACAAAACTATAAAAATTATTCTAATCTAAGTATTATATTTCCTGCCAAAAAATTTCCCAATGTGGTGATTAGGTAAACGAAATGGCACATTCATGGATACAATACAAGCAAATCTGACTTTCAGACCTTTCACTTTCACAAAATCAATATACTTTCATATAAATATACTGACACCTTTAAACTACATTTCATACACACACAAAAAGAATTCTGGCAAGACAAATCAGTACCTGAAAGTGCTCAGCTCACACGCATAAGTCCCATTACCAAACTCAACCTCCCTCCCACCCCATCACCTGCATCTCAGCGCCCCTCTACCTCTTCTCCCTACAGAGCTGCAGGTGTCACTGGTTGGCAAGAATATTTGGGCTGGTTATCACCTGCCAGCCAGGTAGTCTGACCCCAAGAGACAGCACCTGCACAAACCCTAATTAGACATTCTATATTTTCAGTTCTCTGGAGAGGAAGAACTCCCACATGAGATAAGTCAATGGGACAAATTTTAGACACTTCCTAACAAATTTTTATGAAAATAATACACAAAGTAAGAAATTGCAGCTTTCTACAGTATTAAAATCCCCAAATCTCATGAGAAAATAAAGGAACAAGCAGCAAGTTACCTCTAGATACATAATAAATGTTTGCTGGGTTGTTTTCTAACTTCAAATTTCACCAAGTAGTAAAGCACCACTCTAAAGTAAACTATTTTCCAACCAAAGTTCAAGGGAATCAGAATCCTTAGGTTAAAAAAGTTTGTAGTTTAACATAAAAATGTAGTATCTGGGGCCCTGGATGGTATAGCTCACTGGATTGAGCGCAGGCCTGCAAACCAGAGGATCGCAGTTCAATTCCCAGTCAGGGCACATGCCTGGGTTGCAGGCCAGTTCCCAGCAGGGGACCCACGAGATGCAACCATACATTCATAGTCTCTCCCTCTCTCCTTCCCTTCCCCTCTAAGATCTTTTAAAAAAAATTTAGTATCTGGGCATATGGGTTGTCAATAAACAAGATGTAAACAAAAACTTTTTAAACTCACTAAAATTTTTGGTATATAAGATAATGCTCTACTAAACAATATTAAGAGTCAAACACAAAGAAAAAGCAGATAAAATAATTTGGAAATAACTGAACTTGAGAGCCATTATTTCTCAAAAATTTTAAGCATAAATACATTTTAAAACAAGCTAATTTCCCTCCCTACTCCCATAATTACTCTATTTGCTAAAAATACCTCCAGATTACACCAAAGCCAAGTATTTCTTCAAAAAATCTTTTTGGAGCTACCGTTTAAACAAATGAACACTAATATTCTCACAGCTCTAATAATGGGCATTTGTAATAATGTAGGAGGTTAAGGGTTTAAAATTTAGTGAGTTCTTCTATCCCTTTAAGTGACTTGAAGGATCCAAGATGGCAGAGGAGTAAGCGGAAGCTACACTAACCTCCTCCCAGGACCAATCTCCAAACACAACTGCACTGTAGAGAAATCATCCTGTATAACCACTGAACACTAGCTGGAGAGAACCCTTACAACCCAGAACAGACCGAAGAAACCACTTCTCCACCACAAGTCTGACAGGGAGTGCAGAGGAGGTACGAGAGGGCTGGCTGGCTCCCAGGGGTGGCAGCTGCAGTTCCGGAGGGATATTTCAGCGGCCAGGGGTTCCTGGACACGTGTGGGGCCTAAACCTGAAGCTGAGCTCCCCAGCCTACAGCACCAGAGCCAGAAAGGAGCCCAGATAATATAAAGGTGTGAAAAGCAGCAGCGGGGTTTCTATCTATCGGGGAAAGGAGGCTGGAGATGCAGAGAGCCTCCTGAAGAGTGAATGCACAAAATTTCATCTGCAGCCACTTACCCGGGGCTCCAGCAGAGGGAGGGAAGAGTAGACTCGGGATGCTTGAGAAAAGTCTGGGGTTTGTGGCTCTGAAGAGAGAACTGAAGGAACAGTTGCCAGGTTCCCTCTGCTGAGTCATTCCCCACACTGCAGAAGCCACCTTTTGCAGGCAGAGAGCACTCCTCTCTGAATGGCATTAGGCTGAGGCGAGCAACAGCCACAACCCCCAGGAATTACTTTGCCCCACCCTGTAAACCTTAAACTGGGATGCTGATAGCAGCTTGATTAGTTTAAAACCAACTGGTTTTTTTATATTTTTTAATATATTTTATTAATTATGCCATTACATTTGTTCTACTTCCCCCCTCCGATCTCCTCCACCCTGCACACCTTTCCCCCACAATACCCCCCTTTAGTTTATGACCATGTGTCTCATATTCTTTAGATTCTATATTTCCCATACTATTCTTGCCCTCCCCCATCTATTTTCTACCTACCATCTATGGTACTCATTTTCTGTACCTTCTCCCCCCTTCTCCTTCTCCCACTCCCCTGTTGCTAACCCTCCATGTGATCTTCATTTCTATGGTTCTGCTCCTGATTTAGCTATCCTCTTAGTTTGCTTTTATTTTAGGTGTGGTTCTTAATAACTGTGAGTTTGCTGTCCTTTCACTGTTCATCTTTTTTAATCTTCTTTTTCTTAGGTAAGTCCCTTTAACATTTCATATAATAAGGGCTTGGTGATGATGAACTCCTTGAATTTGATCTTATCTGAGAAGCACTTTATCTGTCCTTCCATTCTAAATGAAAGCTTTGCTGGATAGAGCAATCTTGGTTGTAGGTCTTTGGATTTCATGACTTGGAATACTTCTTTCCAGCCCCTTCTTGCCTGTAAGGTCTCTTTTGAGAAATCTGCTGACAGTCTGAAGGGAACTCCTTTGTAGGTGACTGTCCCCTTATCTCTTGCTGCTTCTAGGATTCTCTCCTTCATTTTAATCTTGGCTAATGTAATTATGATGTGCCTTGGTGTGTTCCTTCTTGGGTCCAACTTCTTTGGGACTCTCTGA